CAAAGTAAATTACTTTCTTTCAACCCTTCACTTTAACCAAGAGACTTTTACAGCCCATTTCTAAGGAGAACAGTTCAAGACGGCAATGCTGGAATTTGGTGATAAAACCTGTGATGTATGCATAGACCATTTTCTATAACGTGAACAATTGTTTTGGAGAAATTCATGTATACCATCTAAGTGGCATTTAATGAAAAAATAACTGTTTAAATATTGGCATTTGTGTCCTCATATAATAAGAACATTTGAGTGTAAATATCCGTATTCAATCAGTAATCTACACATTGTAGTGTACTAAGTATTCATACATGTAAATGTCTACTCACTGTATTACCGGGAATTCTGTTAGACAATTGAACAACATCAATGAAAGTGGCACAATTAATTTGAACAGAATAACAACAACTGCTGAAAACAAAAGTTTACAAATAAAATTGGAAAAACAGTTTAAACAGTACTGGAAAGAAGAATTGAATAATGACTGAGAAATTGAGAACATACAGAAAATTTAAAAATGAATTCGAATTAGAAAACTATTTGATATCACTGAAAAATGTTGAACTAAGACAAACATTTTGTAAATTTCGACTAAGCAATCACAACTTAAAAATAGAAACAGGACGACATTCCAAACCAAAAACACCTGTAAAAGAAAGAATATGCGAACTTTGCACTAAAAATCAAATAGAAGACGTGCAACATTTCATCATGACTTGTCCATTTCACAATGACCAAAAAAAATCAATATTTGAGAAATGTAAGAAACAAATTAATAATTTTGATAACTTTACAATTAATGAAAAATTTGCAATGACAATGAGTTATAATTTAACCTCATTACATATCACACTTGGACAATTCATTAAAACTGCTCTCAACTTAAGACAGAAACACCTCCAAGATTTTTAAACCTTAATGTATTAACGCATTATTATTGTTATTACTTTTTAACAATGGTTTCTTCTACCTTTATTATTGCTATTGATGGGATATATTACTATTCATGTTTTTTTATTTCTTTTATTTCGATTATTATTATTTATTTTTTTAATCACTACTTTAGTCTTAGTGTTTTGTATTATTAGTCTAGTTTTGTACAGTGTAAATGTAACCATTTTATGTGTTTAATCAAGTAAAAATGAGTAAAAATAGTCAATCAAAATTTTTTTCTTATTTTATAACCTCCAGATGTACATAACATAACATGACATAAATTTAAATTTCCCACATTAATCATTACATTATAAATGATGTAATAAAATGAATCAATTCCTCATTCATTGAACCATTTGCTATTGTGTACCTGCATGTCAGAGGGTTCAATATATTATATTCAAATACAAATGAAATGGACCATAGTACATGTATGCAATTACTGAACAGTGATTTGTTAACACATTGCCTACTGAAAGCCTCAACAGGTAGCCAAAATGAAAGGGAAAAACGGTGTCAGCAGTCAATATGTGGGCGGTAGGCTCGTAAATTCACAAAACCAAGCTACCAAGCTTGCCCACATAAATTTGTTGAAAGTATAATGCTATATAATCTACAATGAATATTACCACAATTACTACATAGAACTATCTGCAATTTTACCACACTCCCCAATGGTGAGACCTGTATTTCACAGGCTTAGCAAATAAACTGTATCTACAATGAATACTACCCCCACTTTCCTAGTCTTAACAAAGCCACTGTAAGAATGATATCAGCCCTCTGGTACCTGTGAGAGACGTGCATTCCCGATTATATTCCAACTGATAAAACAAGCAATGGGGACATTACCACTTTTGCATTGAATCAATCGTATCCAGCTTGGATTTGAAATTTATATTGACAATACTGACAAAGAACCACGGTGACACAGTATATTTAGAATTTTAATGTTCTGCAAAAAAATCACTAGACATTTTACACTTTCAAGATTTATAGACACAGTAAAATCAATGTTTCCAAGTATTCAAGCTCACAGAGAGCCATCCAAGCGTGCCTGTGTAAAACCTTTTATTGGTACCAACTGAATAGATTTTTATGTTGTTTTCAACATACCGCATTTTCTCTAATAGAAGCGCATTTTCAATAGAACAGCATAAAACAAAGAATGCACACGTTTAATGCTGAATCATTAAAATACGGACTCGTTTTTCTCATAGAAACATCACTTATGTAATTGTATGCACTACTAATAGAGAAAACAATTGCTGTGATATTTACTGTCACTGACGTATTGTTTTTATTATTTTTCAGAGAGCCACAGTAACCAAATACAGTTATATACGCTTTCATGACTTTTTTCAAAGACACTAGTGTCTTTGGTTTTTTGAAAGCGAGTGAATCAGTAAGAGTAAGACCTGACGTCAAATCAACAACACTCGCGTCTTTAAAATTTACACAAACTTATTCAACAAATGCAGTAATTTAAAGTGTAATGTCCACGCCAATATCGTGAATTAATTTTTATAATCATTCTATCACGGAGAGGGGAAGAAATAAAACAAAACATAAATTAAAAAAATGTACAATTGTTAACATCTACTATGTATATAGCACTTTTGCATAAGCCCAGAAAACATGATTATTCAAAAACCTTGCACTGGAAAGCTCTCGACTGTGCTTAAACTGCGACGTCCTGCCTGACCTTTAATGTATTTCATACTACAATAAAACTCTCTATTACTAGTATTATACCTCAGAATATACATATAATTAACCCTGAGATTATCATACGTACCTCGGCATGTCAGCGGCTCCGCGAGATCTACAACAACTAATCCCGACACAACATTGCCAGCGTGATACACCTCGCGATTTCCGTCAAAAGTCACGTAAAACGCTTTCAGTTTCCCCATGTTATCTGTACGTCGAAATTACTGTGAAACACGGAACATAGGGTAACTGTATTCTAGTTCCTGTTGACGACAACGGATCCGATTCAGCTACCTCCAGCTGTCGAATATTTCGAGCAGACTATATGCTGACGTATAGGCGGTATGTTGTGAGGGACTGTGGTTGTTTGAAGCGACAGAATAAATTTCTATTCTACCGTACAGTAAGAATCCAGATGAACGTTACTACCATGTTCATACAACGATTACGTTTCATAGTTCCACCTTAGCTACATCGCTGTCGGTCAAACATAGAGACCACTCGTGACGCCGACTAACAATGACTCACTCCGAGCTGTCCAGCAGCTAATTGTGTCACGAGCGAAAAATAGGTCGCTCGGACCTTAATGACGTTTCACTTAAAGCCCCCTAAGTTTGACAGAAATGTTGAAAGGTGAAAGTCAAGATTGTAATTATTTTATTGGATAAGACATTTCATTTGGTGTCACATGCGATATACAGCGCTAAACTCATATAAGACATTCAAATAAAACTTTAAAAAGAGTTTGTGACAGTGATTTTTAGAAAGCGGCGGAAAGGCGAGAATACCAGGATATCGATATTTTGACTATTTTCACAAAGTTTGATGTACACACGAGCGATACAATTTTACTTATAATGTTGTGTAATACAGATTCTATATTTTATATCAATTTACAAATAAACAAATTGAAAAGAGCCCTGAAAGTAAGAAACACTGCATTATTTCGTATTGTAGCATTTCTTGTTATATAAATATATTTTTTTGAAATAACAATACTGTAAAACCATTTATTCCCACTTACATTTAATTTCACTATTTTGACGTTTTGAGCATATTCACTGTTTTTAATTTCACGAATTTGTCGAGAAAACAATGGGCTTTATTGTTATTTTACATGTTAGTAGATTTAATTTAGGGTATTTTACTTAACAGCGAAATTAAAACCAGGTGAATAATTAATTCATTTACAGTAGTCATGTTCACTAAGTCGTACCGTAACCTTCGAATTTTACAACTGTATGCCAAGACATTAGACACTGTCCCCGGGATAGGTAAAAACAACTGTAGCTCCGCCTCTATGTTTATTTCCTGTCGGGTTGCTGGGATGGTTTCCAGCCTGGTTTCCCAATGTTGATTTTACTGTATACTGATCTGGTCTCCCGGACCGTGAATTTCACCAAACATTGGTTCCTCGCACAAGTGACCCCCGGGCTGAAACCACTATATCCATGATAAATCTGGCTCGAAATCATATCTCACACAGTTTAATAATTTATTATAATCAGTATAATATATGTATTCAATGTCTTTTCAAAATGAATAAAAACAACAATAACAATTTCAGTGTTCTAAGAGATTTCAATATCACAAATTTTACAGCATATACGAAATTATTTAATTATCTCAGTGTACGTAAATGCCGATTATTACTATGACTAATAGGTCATAATCTGTGCCAAACCCTTTATTCATTTCAACGCCTTCGTGGGCAGCCATGCAAACCTGGCTGTCATCACAGTCCCTCTAAGAAAGAACTGTGCTTTCATAAAGAGGCATGGGTCGACATGGGTTGAATGTCATACATGTACACAGAGAAAGATATAAGAGCAATAACGTAATGGTATACAAATGAATGAGTTGTTTCATCATTGAATATTGATGTAATAATCATGCGAAGTTATTCTTTCAATGGTGTTGAATAATCTAAATGCCCTATTCCCGGTCTGACTCGTTTCCTCAAGTCAAATATCTCTGTTCTCATAAAGTGTGCATTTGTTCTCATGAAACAGTGAAAGCTTTCGGTCAATCCAGATACAACAAAGATTGTGATTGTTTTAATAAATCAAATTAGATGTCTTGAGAACTACACTTTTTTCTGGGGCTGCTCAACTTAACACACTCAAAATATTCAATTATCTAGGTCTGATAGATAGTGCAGATGGGAAAGTTAAAGAAGGTCTTAAAAACATATATTTAACACGAACCTAAACAATTTAGGCATTTTTTGTCTTTGTCACTGTTGGACAAACCTTTTAGACCTATTCTCTGTGTGTAGTAGTGATGTTTGGGGAGATGAAATTCCGACAAAATCATCAATTATTGTCGATTTCTGTCAATATGCGTATCATGAAAAGTAAACTATTAACTATTATGGGTCTATGCAGCGAGCTTTGAATATATCCGTTGGAGGTTTTCGTTAAAAAAAACAGGTTATTAGAACTTTTAATAGAATTCAAAACTATATTAAAGGAAGTATTCACTGTTGATAAAAATATGAAAAGTACTTAAAAATAAAAGTATTGACCCCCAAACAGTTAATTAAAACAAAAGGGATAATTTCTTATGAAATCAATCAAATCAAATCATATCAATATCATATCAAGGATGAAATTCATTATCTTATAAAATGTCATTATATAAAACATATCGCAAAGAACTGTTGTCTAAAAACAAAGATCCAACATTTTGACAGAAGAACAATGTGGCTGTCTATCGCACACATTCGATCAGGTCTAAAAAAAACTTGCCAGCACTGTGTTTGTGTAATGGTAACACAAGTAAAAGACTATGGTAAACTGTAATACGTATATAAATTAGTACATCGCATATTTTGTTAGAGAAGTCAGGCATCAATGTACAATGAGAACAATTCACCCCGAACATGCACTGAAACACTCTTTATATAGGGTTAATTGGATTAACACCTCGGGTTTTAAAATTGGAGGGAAACACTGTGATTGATTTGCCATGTGAGAAGGTCACTATTGAATATACATTGCGACTTCTCTTGCGTTCGCAGTAATAAGAACGTATTTGTGATCATTACGTAAATGGCTTACTAAATACATGTACGAATAAAAACTAACAGTTACAATTAAACAACAACAAATATGAATAAATCAAGAAACACACGTGGATAAGTATCCACGATAAACAATGGACAAACGATTATTACTCAGTTCGAACTAAGAACTAAACTAATTCGTTTATTTCCTCATCATTTCTTTCTTTGTTTCTTTCTTAGTTGTTGTAACCATTACCGTTTCTCTGTGGGATGCATAAGTACTGGCATGAACAATGAAATTGTTACCATAATGACATCACGTACGTACGTTTGGTTCCTACGACGTTGCAGTATTAGTTAGTATCTGTAAAGAACTAATGTAGGAAATATGTTTTAGAGTCTAAGTTAGGCAAAATTAGATTTGACACAGTGAGGAAAACAGGTTGTTGAAAACAGGAAGTAAAAGGTCGAAAGTAAAATGCGGTGTAAGAATTGGGAAGTATATGCGCGCGAATTAAGAAGTGAAAATAGGAGAAAAACGAGAAGTGTAAAATGTAAACTGAGAAGTAAGATGTAAGCTTATTACGTGCAGAGAACATGAAACCCGTCCACGCGATCCGCGCCACACAGCGTTGCCAGAATGCGGCAAAGGCCTTCAGATCTGGCTGTAGTAGGATGGTGAAAGTAATGGTACAGCATTGTAACAGTGAATAAGTACTGGGAAATAATTTTAAACTCATAGTTGCTGCCGACATAGGAAGTAAAGTAAGCCAAATAA